TGGGATTGGTGGTGCAGCCACCCACCCTTCTAAGACCCTTGCCCGGAGCCCCTTCCCTTCCTGTGGGGGCCTCATAACCAGGCTGGGCAGGGGCTGCCACTTGCGGTGCGCAGATGAGAACTGGCTTTCCAGGAATAGCCAGGGGCCCGAAGGAGCAGGGAAGGTCCTCTCAGCCCCAGGAGTGTGTTCGGGGGGCGGTCACCTACCTTTCATCGGTCAACAGACCAGACCCTCTCTGCATCTCATTCTGGGTCACAGAACAGAGCTGGAAGTGACCGTACTCATTTCACAGATGCACAGGTGTGGTCCAGGGAGAGGCAGAGGTTCAGGGGTCAGGCAGGATGGGGACCCACGCCCGTGCCCTGTCCAGCGCACCACGCACGGCCTGCCCCTGCTGGCCCGTGCATCAGGGGACAGTCGCCACAACCTGACTCTGCCTTGCCCTCCTGTCTGAAAGCCCTGTTGAATTTCCCAGCAGCGACGTTCTTGGAGTCCTTTGCTTAGGAAACTGATCTTGAGGTAACAAAGAACGAAAGCTGCCGCCTAGTGGCCGTGCAGTGGCAGCACTTTGGCTTGAAGGGTGGGAATGCTGTGGGGTGGAGTCAGCGGAGGGGGAGGGGGTGGAGACCCGGTGGCTTGGCTGGAGCTGGGTCCCTTGGGGTTGAGGACAAGCGGGCCTGGGGGGTGGGTGCTGTAGTGAAGGAGCAAGTAGATCGTCCACAGGGCAGCAGTAGCCACTACCGAGCTCCAGGAAATGGCCTCACATGGCCAGAAATTCTGGTTTTTTTTTTTAAGATTTTATTTATTAGAGACACAGAGAGACAGAGAGAGAGAGAGAGAGAGAGAGAGAGAGACGCAGGCAGAGGGAGAAGCAGGCTCCATGCAGGGAGCCCGAGGACATGGGACTCGACCTGTGACTCCAGGATCAGGCCCTGGGCTGAAGGCGGCCCTAAACCGCTGAGCCACTGGGGCTGCCCAGAAATTCTGATTTTTAAAGAGACCCATATCCAAAATTTTCTTGAAATCAAGTGAAATCAAAATCAAGTGAAATCTCTTGATTTTTTTTAAATCTCTTGACTTTTAAACGCTGGGAACTAGTTACAAAAACTTTTTTTTTTTTTAATGGCAGGGGTCAAGCAAACCAAACCCCTCATCAGGCTGCTAGCTGCAGCCTCTGATCTTGAACTTAAATGGATATCTCTTCCCTGGGGGGCTTCCCCTGCCAGTGCTGTGCCCACCCAGAGATGCTGCTCCTCCAGTGTGGGACACTTGGCACTCCCCTGGGAGTCCTGAGTGAACCCCTGCTTCCAGACCCTGTGGCTCCCTGCTGAGAAGGAGCCCCTCGGTCCTGGCTGCAGTCTCTCCTCCCCGTCCTCAATTCTTAATCTTGAAGACTCAGAGGTAGGCCTTGCCCTTGCCCGAAACTGCTGCTGTGCACTTGTGCTGATTTCAAAGCTTCCTACACCCTGGCCTTGTCCCCTCCCTCAGTACATGTTCCCATCCCATCAGCTCACCTGGACATGTTAGTTTTAGCTGCCTCCTCATCCTCCCTCAGAGGCCACCAGGATCTATGATCCATTGGTCCCACCTGTCCTAGGTCCCTCACTCCCCCTTTCCCTGACTTCTGCTCTGTGGCCCCTCCATCCTGATCACTCTTGCTCAGCGGACTCTGGGTGTGGCTGCCACTCACATGGGACCCAGCCTCCCCACCCCACTCCAACTCCCACCTCCGCAGCCAGTCCCCCCAGGTGACAGGGAGGCCACCTCACTGCTGCTAGTCCCACAGACACTCCTGCCACTAGCCTCTTTTGGGTGGGAACCTGGGGCTTTCCAGAAGCCCCATGGCCCTGCCCTGTGTAGCCTTGCCACCTCCTTGGAGATCTCTAGTTGCCAGCCTCCCTTCTCAGACCTCCAACACCACCCCCCTTCCCCAGTGTCCGTGCTCCCTAGGAGAACGAAAGCACACGCCAGAGGTGTCCACAGCCTCCACCCACTCCAGATCTGTGCCCCAGCATGCTGCCTGTCTCTGTAGGTGGGCTCCCTACCACCCCCACCCCCTAGCACCTTGTCCCACTCAGAAACCACAGGCCTCTTGTGAGAGCCGGAGACCAGGACCCTTCTCTGCTCCAGCTCGCTCTGAGACCCAGAATCTTCTATACATCCAGCCTCAGCCACCTGTTGGACCCCATCTCTCCCCCAGCTCACTCTGCTTCAACCCCAGAGGTCTTCTAGTTCCTCAGACACACGTGCCCACTCCCACCCAAGGCTGTGATCCTCCCAGTTCCCTCTGCTCTCCCCCCAGGAGCTGCATCGCTCTGTCACTTCCTCCAGCCACTGGTCAGATGCCACCTTCTACTGAGACCTCCTGACCACTCTGTTTACAGCTGTGCACCCCAGACATGGATGGTCGTGATGGCAGCCCAACGTTGTGAATGTACTCAATGCCACAGAACTGTATGCTTACAGATGGCTAAAACGGTAAACGTTATACTGTTATATTTTACCACAAAAACAAACTGTACACTCCACTCCCAGCCCTATTTTCCTCCCTACACTTAACTCCTCTGTATTTTATTCATTATATTCCCCTTGTAGAATGTCAGCTCCATGAAGGTAGGGGCCTGAATGCTTTATCCACTGATGTGTCCATCCCAACACCTAAAACAGTGCCTGGCACCGACCAGGAATAGACACTCAGTGTCTGTCAAATGCCTGACACACGGCCTTCTACTTAAACGGTCACCAGGAAAAGGGGCTGGGATTGTAGGGATGTCCCTTTTAGGGTCACTTCCACTCACTGCCACCGTCATTCCTATTTTAGTATACATGCTACCAAAGCAAGCACTCGCCGCCATTCTCAACAGCCTGAAGGCCAGTTTGAAAGGGATCTTCAAAATGATCCTGAAACAGGGTTTATGCCCCACACATTGGTTCTGGCCAGTCCTTCTGGCCTGTGGGTCCCCAAGGCAGAGTCAGGGACTGTCAGTGCCCCCAGAAGCACGTGCAGGATGCCCTTGCAAGGAGTCAGACAGGCTTGTGAGCCATGTCTGAAGCTAACAGCTCTGAGCTGTTTCCTCATTTGTAAACCAGGACAGTACCTTCCCTGGGAATTGGGAGGGGCGAGTGAGAAAAATCATGTACAGTGGCTCACGGGAAATGCAGGGCACAGAGCTTCTCCAGGAAGCATGCCCATATTAAGCCCTGGGGATCTGCTGACACCCAAGCAAGGGCCACAGCCTCCTGCTCAGGGACCAACTCAGGAAGCAGCCGCCCCACTAGGAAAGGTGTAGTCCCCAGAGCAGCCTCCAGAGGGCACCACATCACAGCTCTGAACCTTGTGTGCTCAAGTTCTGGCGCCAGCCTCGCACCTCCCACTGCTGTGCCAGAGTGAGGTCTCTGTGGCTTCGCGGATGAAAGGGACCCCAGCGACGCGGTCCCATCTCAGGCAGGACCCTGCACACAACCAGTAGCCTTCGCCTCCTCCTAACCCAGGGGATCTGACCCCACAGCCTGCAGCCCAGCCCCCAGGGCACTTGCAGGGAAGGTAGCAGAATTCAACCCTTCACGCCTCCTTGTCCACCACTGCCACTCCAGAAGCCTGGAGAGAGAGGCAGCGTGTGGGTGCATATGGGAAGTAGGGGCTCAGGGCTGGAGGTCAGGCAGCTACTCAGACTGGTATCTGACATTGCCCAGGACGGAGGTGGGGAATTGGGAGACCCCCTGCAGAGCCAAGAGTGAGGACCACCACCCTCTGGCTACCCCATCGCTGGTCCCAGCTTGGAGGGCAGCTATCTGGCCTGTGCCCATCTGAGCTCCCCCTCCACAGGCAGCTTCCAGAATTGGAGGCTGGAGGCAAGAGGAGGCTGGAAGGGATGCCTTTAGCCTGGGTAGCCCATCCCCTGGTGCCAGAGATGTTATGTGTGCCCTGGTCTAGGGTCATCATACTCAGTGGTGGCATTGGGCAAACAGAACCCAGCCCTGGCCTCAGCCTACTCATCTATTAACTAAGTGGGGAGAGGGGGGTGTCATCACACTAGATTGCCCGTCCCACGGCCTGAGCTCCTGAGTATCCCAGAGGGCAGAGCAAGTTCCAGTGGTGGAGGTCCAAGGCCACCGTTGACCAATCCAAGGCTGGAAGTTGGGGGCCTGGCCCCACCCTACTACCCTGCATCCAAAAGCAGCACTGCTGTTGTAGTAACAAGTGTGAAGCTCTGCAGGCCACCATACCTGGGGTCAGAGAACAGGCAGCCTGGGAAGGGGAGGGAGGCCTCTAAAAGGGGCCCTCCCCCCCCTCCTTCCTACAAGACAGATGGCCCTCATTGCTCCCCTTTAGGAGCCTTTAGGAAGGAGGGTGTTAGGCTGAAAGGTTTGAGCAAGCCCTCAGAGCAAAACCATGTCTGAGAACACGGATGCCCAGACCAAGATCCCGGCCACTTTACTCCCCTCACTCTGGGTGCCCACCCCTGTGCAGCAGGCCAGGGGCAGTGGGATGGGGGCTTCAGCAGCAAACCCTGTAAGTCCATCACCAGGACAGACCAATTCAGGTTCCCTGCTTATACCCTCTGCCCCCAGGGGGGCTGCTAACATTCACAGGGCTCATCCTACTGTTCATTTTGGGGGTCCTGTGGCTTAGCTCTGAATACTGGAATCACACCCAAGTGCCTACCTAACTGCTCTGCTGCTGACTTGCTGGGGGAACCAGGGCAAGTCACCAGGCCTCAGACCCCCACCTATATAAAGAGCAAGGTAACAGGTAACTACTTGGTCCACAGACCTGAGACTACTAAGTAAGTAGAAGGCACAGAACAAATGTCACAGCCCGCTGACATATGAACAAGAGGCTGAGTTCTGCTTTGAGTCCTGCTCTTCAGTGGGAGTGGGGGCATTTCAGATCTGACTGGATGCAAGGTAGGTCTCCCTTTGGCTCCCCCACCCATGCCACTGGTGCCCCACCTGAGAGCACACCCCAGCCTCACCTGCCCGTGAAGGTCCACACCACACACACCTCAGGGCTGAGTGGATTCACATTGGTCTTTTATTGGATTTTCCATGGGCAGCCTGGACACCTCAAGCTGCTAACCAGCTCCTCAGCCCTTCTGCACGTTCCTGGCTTCTGCTCTGGGGACCTAGCTGGGAGCTGCCAGCCAGGCACCGTCTTCTCCCAAGGCCCTGCCACAACTGGGGCTCCAGGCTTGGGTTGCTTCCTTGAGACAAACCCAGTTTTCCCACTGCCTCCCTCTTTGTGCCAGGCTGCCCAGACAGGGGTACGTTCCTGCATTGGGGACAGCCAAGCTCTCCTGGGGAACAGGCTCCAGCCCAGACCCCTGGCAGTGCCTACTCATCTCAGGCCACTTCAGACCCCACACAGCACAGCACAGTACTGCAAGCTCCAACCTAAAGCTTGGTGTTGAGGTGGAAAAAGTGGGGTGCTGCATAGGTTGTGGCAGGTGGCACATGCCATGCAGACGAGGCTGGGCAAAGTCTGTGGCGAAGGGCACTGTCAAAGGATGACGGGGGGAAGTGCATCAGACCCGTGGCCATGGGTGAGGGCCCTGTGGTGGCCAGGAAGTGGGCCGGGAAGGCAGGGATGACCAGGGGGCTGAAGGGGAGAGTGGCCTGGCCCTTTAAGTGGTCCGGGGTGCCAGCAAAGTTCAGTGGGCACCGCAGCATGGTGCCCCTGTAGGCCTCAGGGAGGGCAGGCCCCAGCGCTGGGCCCAGCAGGCAGGACACGGCCACACCAGACCCCATAGATTTGGCCCCACACTCCTTGGCGTCCACCTCCTTAAGAAAGGGAGACACTGCCCGCAGTTTTTTGCCACCATGGGCAAAGCCCTCTTCTTCCAGGCTGCGCTTGGTACCCAGGCCGGGGCTGCTAGGGAAGGTAGACAGGGGAACAGGGCTCTCAGCAGGGGCCTTGGCCATCGGGGACACCCAGCAGGCTTTGGGCTTGGGGTAGGGGCTGCCTTTTCTAGAGCTGCCTTTATGGAATGCAGACGGGCGGTTGGCATCCCCGCCCCACACCAGCTGGGGCTCTTTGACTGCCAGGCCCTCCTCTTTGCCAGGGGGCCCCAATAGCACCCCATCTTTAAAATTGGGGAAGAAGTCCCGGGGGTGCTGGCTGACGGGCTTCAGCACCTCAGTGGGGTATGCGTGGAAACAGCCAGTGAAGATGGGGGCTGGTAGGCGGGGACCCACTTGAGCCTCCTCCCTGAGGCTGCCACCAGGGGCCTGTAACCCCTCCGGAGGGGTTAGCCGGTGCCTGGAGTTCTCAGCTGGCTTTCCTGGGCTCTGAGGACTTTCCGACAGGAGAATGGCAGGGGATGCCTGGGGGTCCCCATTAGGGCTGCCTACCCCATGGCGACAGCCCTCCTCCTGGCACTGCAAGGCCTCTGCCTTGCTCACTTGGGCCAGGAGCTTCTTTTTGGCCAGTGGTGACATGATGCCATGTGTTCCTTTGCAGTAGAAGCTGGACAGGAGCCGCTTGTAGGCCTCAGGGCAGCCGCTGGCACCCCCAAAGGGTGGAGAGGGCCCCAGGGCCGGGCCTGGCTGTTCTGGGCCCTCCCTGGGGGCCTCCTGGTTGGGAAGCCGTGCCAGGTCAGGGGCAGCATCTGTTTTCATCTTTCCTGGCACCATCTGGAAGGAGAAAAGGCCATGCCTCAGGGCTGGATGTGCGAGCTGTGTATCCTGACCTAGGGACCCCATGGCAGCAGGGGCGCAGAGGTATCCCAAGAGCCTCTGCTAGCCCTTCCAGCGCCTTTGTGGAAGGTTTTCCAAAGGTATCCCGTCCTCTGAATGGACGCAGCCTGGTACCAGGACATGGGGCCTGGTGACTGTGGGGCAGACTGGAGTTTAGACCTGACATGGCCCCTCATTTGACCCTACACAACCATTACCCCGGAAAGCCCCCTCCCCTGCCACCCCAGGTCTGCCCCTCAGAGTGTGTTCTCGGTATTCTGGGCAAGGAGTTCTGTGCCTTGGCAAGGGCAGGGGGAGGAAGGCCCAGGGTCAGCTGGTGGCCCCAGGCAGGCACAGAGCTCACCTGATCCAACCGCTTCTCTTCCTTGGCCTTCTTTGGCTTCTCAGTGGTCCCGTCATCCCCCCGAGGCTCTTTAGCCATCTTGTATTGCTTCCTGGGCTTGGAAGGGGGCAGTGGCTTGTCGTCCTCCCCCTTCAGGTGCCGCACATATGGGAGCACCAGCCTGAGGAGGAGCAGAGCGTGTCCACCAGGAGGCCGGCCTGGCCCACTTGCCACCAGGGCCGCGCCCTTCCCCACGTCGTCCAGGAGGCCTGCAGCAGGCCAGCCACCCCACAGGGCTCTGGGTGGTGAGGAGCACAGCACACCCCTCGGGCACCCCACTCCTGGCCCCACTGCGGCTGTGCCCCACCCTGAGGCAGAGGCCAAGGTGTCCCATGAGCGGGGTCTCACCCCGGCCGTACCTCTCGTAGTGGCGGCGTGTGCAGGTGGCTGCGCTGGTGCTGCCCGGGCTGCCCCCCAGCTCGTCATACACGTTCTTCCAGAGGCGGCGGCCGGTCACCTGCAAGGGCACCACGTGAGGGCATGGCAGGCACACGCCGCCCAGGTGGTGGGGTCCCTGACGCTCCAGGTCCCCACTTGGCAAGGCTGGGGGCAAGGACCGCAGTTTGGCACCTGCCTCTCTGGCAGCAGCAGTGGGGAGACTGGAGGGGCAGCAGCAGAGGGGAGACTGGCCCCAGGGGCCACCGCCTGACTGCTGGCCCGGGCAGTGTTCCTAGCTTGGGGAGCATGGGGAAGACAGAACAGATGGGAAGACAGGAAAACCTGCTTGAAGCAGCAAAGTACCAGTGGGCCAGGCAGGCCCTCCTCCCCACAGCATGCAGGAGAGCTGGGGAAGCGGCAGGCTCTGGGACCCTGCCTCTTCCTCCTGTCTGGTAGTGAGGACAGCGCTGTCCCCAGACAAGGCTCTTCCTCCCCAGGTCCCCACAGGGTAGTGGGGACGGGCTGCGGGATGCAACATGCTGAGGACTGAGATACCCTCCTTACCATCTCATAGGCCCCCAGCTTCTCCACTGCTTTGTAGATTTTCCACAGGTTAACTAGAGAAGAGAGAGGGCAGGGCCCCCATCAGTCTCTGCGGAAGGAAGGGGCAGCCAGCAGCCCATCCCCGTGGACCTGTCAGGCAGGCACAGAACCAGCACACACCCAGACAGGGCCATGGCAACGGGTGGCTAGGCCAGGCCCTGAGCACTGGGGGCCCAGTGGCCAGTGAGGACAGAAGTCCGGCCCCACCCACTGCAGCCCTGTGCCTGGGGTGGGGGATGCCCTTTCTGTGTGCAAGCCCTGTGGGCTGGCATCGCCCAGGGTTGCCCAGAGTGGAGGTGCCTGCACGACACCCTGCCTGGATGGAATCCCCTGCCGGGCTCCCCCTCCCTGCCTGCAACCCAGGGACGCACTCTGCTTGAAGCCGAGATGGGGCACCCTCTCGATGGGCGTGTGTCGCTCCTTCATGAACTTGTAGAGGCTGACCAGGAAGGCCTGCTCCTCCTCCCGCTCCTGGTCCTCCTCCCGCTCCCCGCCTGCCTCGGGGGAGTCCTGGGGAAAGAACAGGAGGCATTGGGATGAGCCCCCAGTTGGTGGGTGGCTGGGGACAGACGGAACCACTGCCTGCTGGGGAAGGAGGTATGTGGTCCCCGACCCCAGGCTCCCGTGGGAGGGAGCAGGCCCCCAGCACCCAGTTGACAGCTCTGGGCTGGAGTGACTGTTTCTGGCACCAGAGAGGTAGTTGTCAGCTGTTAGTGCCCAGGACCCCAGCTCAGGGTCCATGGAAATGGCTCCAGAGACAGCCATAGGAGCAGCCCTGCGGCTTCTCCAAGCCTCTCTCCAGGCACAGATCACTTCTCTGTCTTGCTCTAGATTTGTTATGTCTGCATCTCAGCTCATCTACTAGACTGTGAGCTCTTGGTGGCGGGCTCAGCATCCCTAGGCCTCCTAGGGACCCCTGTGGTGAAAGCCAAGGAAACAAAGGTGCTTGGTGTTTTCTGGTACTTCAGGGTCCTGTGTCCACCAAGTTCAGAGCCGCCAGTCTGCATGCTGAATTCAGGGTGCTGAAGCCCTATCCTGGGTTCCCGACTCATTTCTGTCAGATGCTCAGGACTTTTGGTTTCTGCTTCCAGAGGGACCGTTTCTGCGGGTGCTATGCATTTGGTTGGTGGCTCAGGGTGGAAGAGTGTGGCTGAGCTGGAGCTCGGGGCTCAGGTCCTGGATGAGGAGGCCCTAAACACCAAGGATGGAAACCAACTGATCCAAGAACAGTAAAGAGAGCTGTGCATTCCCAAAATATTCGATTCGAGTACAATTTTCTGACACCGAATAAGACCACTGATAACAAATGGCACACGAACTAACACATCACCTAAGAAACTGTGACATACCCGGGCCCGAGGCAGCTGCTCTCATGCAGGCCCCGGGTGAAGGTGCTCTCAAGGCCTTGGAGTGAATGTGCTCTTCCACACAAGCTGTTAAAAAACTGTCACCATTTCCAACTACTCTTCTACGTGAGTTGGGATTTTCACTCCAGACTGTGCCACCAAAGCAAATGACCAAAAGGAGTGGGTGTTGAGGCCAATGCTCCACAATGTCACCCATGGCTCCCTCTCAGTCTACACTCACCAATGGCCTCAGTGATCTCACTGAGTGACTCTGGCATCCCTGTAAACCTGGGACGGATGTGTGGATGTACATGTAGTTTACATCCTAAAATAGTGCTTTTGTCTGTTTTATTCATCAGGGCTCTGGGCAAATCACTTGATAAACGGGTTCTGCTAGAAAAACTAAGCCTGAAGGGCAGCCCCAGTGGCGCAGCAGTTTAGCGCCGCCTGCAGCCCAGGGCATGATCCTGGAGGCCCCGGATCAAGTCCCACGTCAGGCTCCCTGCATGGAGCCTGCTTCTCCCTCTGCCTGTGTCTCTGCCTCTCTCTCTCTCTCTCTCTCTCTCTGTCTCTCGGTCTCTATGAATAAATAAATAAAATCTTAAAAAGAGAGAAAGAAGAAAGAAAGAAAGAAAGAAAGAAAGAAAGAAAGAAAGAAAGAAAGAAAGAACAAAAGAAAGAAAGAAAGAAAAACTAAGCCTGAAACCCCTGCCACAGGTGACGGGCGGGTCCTCTGGTCCCTGGCTCCCAGCTCCCATACCTCCCTGGATACAGGCCCGAGACTGTAGGGTTGGGCCCCTCTCCTGGCTCTGCGGGCTGGAGGGCAGGGAATACACCCTCTGGAGAGCTTGGGGAGTCCCCAAGTTTACCTGGGAAACTGTGCACAGGGGAGGGGGGAGGGACAGGGTAGAGGCCCCCAGGGGTTACTCACCTCCAGATGGACGGGGCTCTGGCTCCTGCTCTGCTCTCCATCAGGTTGAGGGGACACAGATGGGTCTAGGGGATCACCCTCCTCTGACTGCTTCCTTTTCCCTTTGATAGGGGGTGCTGCAAAGAGAGGAACAAAGGGGAGGGGAGAGGGGAAGAGGAAGGAGAGAGAGAGAGAGAGAGCACTGAGATGCAGGCCTGAAGAACAGGCAGTGAGGAGAGGTCCTCCAGGAGCAGGGAGCAGCAGCAGATCCTCCTACCCCCATCTGAACCTGCCAGGTGGGAAGTGAGTTCTTCCTTCCGCGCTGCGTCTTCTGCCCCCTGGTCCCTGACTGCATGCAGGCTGGCCCTCCACACGCACCTATGGACGCACCCTGGTGGCCAACTCTGTTCTCCCTCCTCTCTGCTCACCCCCAGATGGACCCCATGCCTGCTACTGTTCCTTTCTCTGTTCCAGTCAGCTTCCCACATCTTTGAAGGAAACCCTAAACAATCCCGGGGTCAAGTCAGAGGAGGATAAGGTTGGGGCTGTGGTGCTCAGGGAAATCCTGTCTCCAAAACCTGCCCCACATTCAGTCATAAAGTTTCCACAGCATCTCAGCCTAACTGGGAAAGCTGCCGAGGTTCCTATGTTTGTGAGTCCAAGAGCACCACAGAGGGTGCTTGGATTCTCTAGAAATAATCGAGAAGACTATAAGCTCCTGCTTCTGAAATATCTGACCTTTTTCTGAGCACCTGCAGAGTTCTAACTGGCCCTAATAAGGTCACTGGCTCCTGTCACCTGCAAGGGTCTGCAGACCCTTCAGGTCTCACCTGACAAGCCACTTCCTCTGGGTGGCCTTTCTCAGTCCCCAGCCAAGCACAGCACTCCGCTTCTCTTGTCACCCTGAGCTACTCACAGCCACCCAGACTCAACTGCTCACTGCACATGAGGTTTCCTGAAGGTTCAGTGAGGCCTCCAGCACCCCACACAGTAGATGCCAGATTTCAGGGAAAGGGAGTCACAACAACCTGCTTGGGGGGCGGAGGGGGGCGGGGAGGTAGGAGGAGCCATGGGCTGGATTTTACGAAAGGCAGCCATGAGTGGATGGTTGCAAAAACATAACATCCATATCCCTGCAAAAACGACTAGAACATCAGAACATGCCTCAGACCCCCTCACAGGCTGGCAGGGCATCTGAGCTCAGGAGCCCATGTCTTTTGATCACCCTTTCTTTCTGTCTAACCTGCCTTTCCTTTTTGTTAGTCTAGGATGAACTGTCTCATTCTCTTGGTTCTTTCCAACTCAGGAAATCCTTACTGCGGGGCACCTCTGAGATTCTGTCCTAGAGAGAAAAAGAATCTCTATAGCAATGATAAACCCATCCCAGCATGACCCATGAGGCCTCAGGCTAGTGTCTCCTTCAGCAGTTGCTCACGCAAGCATTAGCATTACCATAGCAAGCACTGGGCTTGTGTCTACTCACTCCTGCTGTGTGGGTCCCTGGCTCTTCCATGTATGTTCTCCTATTTAGTCCCAGAAGGGATCTCATTTTAAAGAGGGGGAAACTGAAGCCAGAGAAGCTAGGATGGTTGTCTCCCTAGGAGACCAGGGCTCAAAAACAGGTCTATCAAACCACCAGCCCAAGAGGCCCGGCCTCACCGCCACTATGGCTGCTGGTGTTACCAACATCATTTGCAAGCCTTGACGAAGAGTCCAAATAAGCCTGGAAGAGAAACCAATGTTAAGCCTTGTCAAAAAGAAAGACACTGGGGCCTTCCTCTCAGGCTGGTTTCTCACCAATCAAGACATGGTCCATTTCCAGAAATAACTAGGTGTTAACAACTGACTGCCCTACCCAGCCCAGCAGGCTGATGCCTTTCCTACTGAGTTCTTGGGTGACTCTGTGCCTCAGTCTTCCCTTCTGTGAAATGGGAGTGAAAGACCCTTGAATCCTTTGCTCACTGTCTCCGAATTCGAGAAGTCTCCCAGGTCTCTGGGGCACACCGGCTTCCACCAGCTCTTCTGTTTGCCCCCCCCCCCCCGCCCTCTCCACCTGTTTTCACTCCCTCTCTGCCTTCTTTCCTGCAGGCTTGGCTTTTTAGCCTCAAAGGACTCTCTACTCTGAGTCCCTCCCTGTGGTGTTACTGGGGCTTCTCACTGGAGCCTTCTTGCACACTTGCTATGTGTCTCTGGCAAGTTGCTGCCCTTGGCCTCGGCCTCAGAAGAATAGGTGGTAGGAGCAGGGCCCATTAGGATCACCAGGGAGCATTCTAAAGGTAGTGATGACCATGTTCCCCAGCCCCAGTTTGATTTAAAGTTCTGCAAGGGGGGATCACTGTGTGGCGCAGCGGTTTAGCGCCTGCCTTTGGCCCAGGGCGCGATCCTGGAGACCTGGGATCGAATCCCACGTCAGGCTCCCGGTGCATGGAGCCTGCTTCTCCCTCTGCTTATGTCTCTGCCTCTCTCTGTGTGTGTGTGACTATCATAAGTAAATAAAAATTTAAAAAAAAAAAGGAATCAATCTATTAAAAAAAAAAGTTCTGCAAGGGGCGTCAGAGTTTAAAGCTCCCAAGTGGATCTCAAAGGGTAGCCAGTTTGAGAGCCCCTGGGCCAGAGGACCTCTATCCTGTCTGCTTGGTTCCAGAGTTGGTAAGCTCTGCCACACTGAGGGAAAACCTCCTGGAGTCAGGCACTCGGGTTACCTGGAAAGGAGGTCACCAATCTGAGCTGTTTAACCCCAGACAGGAAAAGGATCAGAGCTCTTGCCTAGAGCCACAAAGTGAAACACTCTCTTTATCTTTGCGTCCAGCTGAGTCCCCAAATGAACTCACCCTCCATTCTCTCCCAGCCAGGCTAGCATCCTCTCTGCCCTGGCAGGGCCTTCTGGACCCCCACTTCCACAGCCTTAGCTGAAGGAGAGCCCCCTCTTTCTACAGGGTGCCCTCTGTCCTGTCCCTGGATCCCCGAAGCTCTCCCTTCACTAGTCATTTGTAGATCAGGTTCCAGATAATCTTCATTTGGAGAAGGGGTCTGCTAGGAAAACTAAGTCTGAAACCCCTGCCACAGGTGACAGACGGGTCCCCCTGCCTGCCAGGCTCCCAGCTCCCATACCTTCCAATGCAGCTGACACAGGACTGGGCCACCCTCCTGGCTCTGCAAAGGGAGGGAAGGGGCTTGGGGACCAGTGATCCCAATCTCCCAGCCACATCCAGGCTGCAGAAGCAGGAGTCCCACTTGCTGGGACACTTCCTGACTGCTGCCCAGGAGCTACTGAGTTACTTACTGTCCTGCTTTGGCCACAAAGCCTCAGGTGGCCTATTGTAATGGGGAGGTGGAGCCATTTTTCAAAAAGAAAACCTCTCCTTGCCAAAGGAACATCATCCAGACATGGGTCTTTCCATCAAGGAAGCAATAATGACAATAATGATGATTATTATTTAATTGTTTACTCTGAACACATCTGGAATCTCTAAGGTATGAAGTAGGGATCTAATCCCCCCAATGGTTAGGTGGTCCCAGTATTGTCTGAGTGATACCCTTCCCCCAATGATCTGAAATGCTACTCTCCTCACAATCTAAAAGCTTATAAGGAACACATTTGAAACTATTTCTGGACTTTTCTACTCAGTTTCCTTCACTGTGGAATGCCAGCACTGGGGCCCAGTCTTAATTGTGAAACGACTTACTCTCCGGAGGGCAAGTCCCCCATCATTAGTCTTTTTAAATAATTTTATCTGAACTTCAGGATAATTTTATCACATTCCCTTAAAAAAGAAAACAAACTCCTGGGGTTTGGGTTGAATTGCATTTAAATTTAGAAATTACTTTGAGGAGAAGTAACACCTTTCTGATAGGGCATCTGCCTTTTTCAGGACCACACTGTCTCCAACATTCAGTTCTCCCTCTGCTGGCCCCAGATGCTCCTTCTTACAAGTCCCGTGTGTTTCCTGTTAAGCTCATTCCTCAGGTTTTGCGCAGCTAGATAACAGTGTGAGAAAAGCTTTGGTAACCTTGGGTAGGACTTCGCTTCACAGTTGCTGCTGTCTCCTCCTGTCGCTGTAGAAAGAGGACAGGGGGCTGCTGGTTGGGCCAGGATATGAGCCCCTGGACCCTCGTGACCAAGTGCCTCACTGGGCAGTGAGGAGGGGGTGGCAGAGTGCTGGGTGGGGGGACTGTCCAAGGCCCATCTGGTGCTAGCAACCCGAGTCTGCTTAACCCCATGGCCCCAAGGTCCTGAAAACCACAGCAGTGAAGAGGTCAGTACCAGTCACTAACTCCAAAAGAGGATGCTCCCTGAAGGCTACTTATTCTCAAGCCATTCCCTACTTCCCTCTCCATACTATACACCCCAACTCCAGTCAGTGTTCTGGTGGGCCCAGGACTAGGCATTTTTGGACTCTGCTTCACTGAACCTTCCCAGCCCCCCAGTGGATGCTATCTCCCCCTTTTCACAGATACAATCCCTGAAGATCCCAGAGCTTTAGTAAGTGGCCTGAGGTCACTCAGCCTCCTACTGGCAAAGCTGGGATTCAGAACCAAAGCAGTCTGCCTGTCCCAAGACTCTGAACCCTGAGATCTAGGGTTTTTCATGGAAGCAGGGAGACCCCAAGCTCCATATCTGCTCAAAGGGTGTGGGCTTGCTTCTTGCCCCAGGGGGTCTGCAGTCTCCCATCACACCACTTCTGTTCATCTGCGAAAAAGAGTCTGCCTCCACTGATGAGCTGGAATCAGGTAAGAGCGGGGCAGGAGAGATGGGAATCGGCTCTAACTCCAAAGAGGTGCATGTTTCATCAAGTCAGCCACTGCTTCCCCATCCACAGGTGGGGGTGCTAGACCCCCATGGGTCCAATGTTCTAAGCAGAACAAAGTGAGAAACAAGTCTTCCCACGTGGGCCACACCCAAGTGTGTGCACACACAGTCCTCATGGTGATATCTGAGGTCTGCTAGTCCTGCTCACTCCCCTCGGGGTCTCACGGTGCTGTGGGGCTGGGAACAGGTGCTCCATAAACAGCCGCAGGGATGCAGTATGATGAGCCACTTGAGGGGCTTGGGCTGTTACTAGTTCAAGGCCATAGAGCCTGTCAGAGACCTAGTGCCAGACTGCACCGCCTGTATCTATCTCCTTCGTGCTCTCGCTCTCTCTACTCTTGCTCTCTCCACTCTCTCTCTCTCTCTCTCTCCCTCCTTCCCTCTCCTCCGTCCCTCCCTCTCTCCTCCCCCCTCCTCCCACGGCCAGCCCCGCCCCATTCACCCTTGGTGTGATGGGAAGGAAGCAACACTTCCTTTCATGAAAAGTCACCCACTGGGAGCCCTGCGTCAATTACGACAATAATGGTAACAGCCGTCTCAATAACAAGCAGCAGGAACGGCCCCACCTCGCCCGAGGTTGTTGGCTTAAGTTTCTCTTAGTTTGAGCTGGAGCTGAAACAAAGACAGCCTTTGAGGCGGCCAGTCCACTCTGTGGCCCAGGAGCCGGCTGCCTGGCAAAGTGTCGGTGTGGAGCTCTCTCCAGTGGGCAATCTGGGGAGGGAGGGCCTGCCAAGGGCTGTGCTCCCGCCAGCGCTGAGGACAGACGCGCTGGACATGGGACCCCTGGAGGCACGGGGGTCGGGGGGAGGGTGTGTGGGGGAACGACTGCCACAGCCCTGCCTCAGTTTCTCAGCTGGGGCATGGGGAAAACAGGTTTGAGAGTAGCTGGGGCCAAGATGAGAGTCTTGAGAGAAAGACCAAGAGGTAGGTGGCATGGGGGCTCCAACTCCTAACCCCAAGGGAAGTCTGTCCCTCCTTAGCCAGCTCTGATGTGTCCTAAAGACGCTATTCCAGAACTAGGCTCAATCCCACTGTCCTGCCTCTGCAAGTCTGGGTGGTATCTGAAAACAGTAACAGTTCCACCAGTGGACGGTTTCCTATGTCCCCATGAACTAACCACCTTTCATGCTCCCAATCCGCCTAGGGAGAAACCAGGCTCCGGGGCTTGTCTAAGATGTGGCTCCAGGGTAGAGACTCAGCCCGGATGGGAGGAAGGTTGCCTAACCCCTGCCTGGGGCGCTCCGGGGCCTGCTGCTTCTCCACCCCCCACCCGGAGACTCCAGGGGCCTAACAGGGAGTGTGGGCAGTTACCTGGCCAGTTCACCGCCAGGTAACAGAAAAGCAAGGGGGAGGGGAGAGGTGTTGGAGGCCGGCCTCTCCTTCACCGCCGGACCTCACTCTAAGCCTCAGTTTCTCTGACTGTTTATCAAAAACAGAGGGCCTGAACCTCTGGAGTCCTTTCTACCTCTGCCAGGCCACGTTCTGGTCGCGGGCGGGTCCCCAGGGCTCTGGGGGAGTCTGGGACTCCACCCCGGGGGCCTGACCCTCTAGGCACCGGCCCTCACCCCTCTTTTGCCCCGGCGGCGTGTAGGCGCAGAAACGCTGACGGCCCCAACAGCGGTCCTCCGGAGGGGGCGAGAAGCACCTGCTACCCTCCCGCGGCCCCGCGGGCTCCTCCTGGCCGGCCGACCGCCCCGCACACAAAGGGCCGCTGGCCCGGCCAGCGCCGAGCCCCCGGGCCCGCAGCCTGACCCCCGCGGTGCGGCGCCGGGAAAACCCCGCCGCCCCCCTCCACGTCGGCGGCGCGGGGGGGCGGGGGGCGGGGGGGCGGGCGTGGGTACGTGGCCCCGGCCGAGGGCGCCCCCGCGACCCTGCGCAGCGCCCGAGACGCGGCCGCCCCGAGCTCCGGCCGAGCGCGAAGCCCGGCGCCCCTCCCGGCGCTCACCCCCGGCGCTCACCCCGGTCGCTCCCGGAGACGCGAGGAAAGGGAAGAGAAACACAAGAAATAAGGCGACAGCGAAGAGGGAAGCGTCTGTCCTTCCTGGCGGGAGGCAGGAGACGGTGGACGGGAGACCGGAGTGAGAGCGAGCACGGAGAGGAAAGCAGAAAAGGGAAGAGAAAAGAGAAAGAGAAAGGGCAGGGGGCGGGAGGCCGGTGACCGCCGACGGATCCGAACACCCCTCTGCTCAAAGAGGAACAGCGGATTCTTCAAAGTGCATTGAGCAAGTTCTTCAAAACCCGCGCAGAGTCACTTTCAGGAAACGGCGGCCGCAGTGGAAAGCGCCGCGCGCGCCCAGGGACCCCGGTGCCTCTTCTCGGCGGCGCCGGCAGTTCTGAGAACCGCGGGGATGTGCCGGGCGAGGCGCGGGGGGGCCGCGGGGGCTGGGGCACAGACTGCTGCGGACGGCCTGTCACAACAAATTAGCTGAGACCAGCTCGAGATTGAAACCACAGCAGGAAGTGGGATGACAGAACCGAACAGGACTTGGTAAATTTCAGCCAAAAGACGACGAAAAGAGTTTCGAGATAAACGTCCGGGAAGCCCCTGGCCGCCGAAACTTTTCGTCTCTGCTTTTTTCGAAGAGTGCGCGCCGCCACCCAGCCTCACCCCTCCCGCGCGGGGCGCAGGGCGCAGGGCGCCCCCGGGCCGGGCCGGGTCGTCGGCGCCTTCGCCCGGAGTCCCCCCCGGCCCCGCTCCGCCCCTCCCGGCGGCCCCGACGGCCACGAGGGCCCGGGGGGGGGCCCGGCAGGGCAACCTGGCCCCCCCCCCCGCGGGGCCGCCAGCCCCGTCCCGGGACATGCCACGGAGCCGCTTACCCATGGCCCGGCAAGGTCCCTCGGCGCCTGCCCGAAGCCCTCCGCGCGCCCAGCCCTCCGCGCGCCCAGCGGTCCGACCCGCGCTCTCCGCGCAACTGGCCCGCGGCGCCGCGAGCCTGCCGCCTCCCCGCAGCCCCGCCCCGCCCCGCCCGGGCCCCGCCCCGCCCCCGCCCCCGCCCCCGCCCCCGCCCCGCTCTGGGCCCGGGTTGGTGGGTCCGATTCTTCCGCGCGGGGCGGAGGCCGCCCCCTGAGCCCGGGGGCTTCTGGGAGTTGTAGTGCGCTTTCCGCATCCCCGGACTTAGAGACCTAGGTACCAGCGGTAGTAGGTTCTTCGCCCAGAAGGGCTGAGGCAGGACCCTCCCGCCCCCCCGCCCCCGCCCGGGAGTCGCTGCTGCCTGTGCCTCAGGGGGCAAAACTAGGCTTGGAAAGTTTCTCCTTGCTCGTCGGTAGGGCCCTGGGGCTGAGTGGGGTGAGCAAAATGCTTCTGACTTGGACTTGAACCAACTTCTTTTCCAACTTCTACCCAGACCCACACAGAAGTAGAGGTGGTGGGTGGGAGCTAAACAAGCCTCCCAGCCCAATCTAGCAAGTCCTTCGGTCAAAGTTCTGTGGGGTCGCAGAAACACTTGGGGCAGGAAGCCTGCCCACTGCGGCCAATGTCCATAGATGTCGCAAGGACAGAGACTGGCAGCTAGGAAGCATTCCAACGAGGGGCCATGACCCCTGCTTGCGGAGCTGAGGGTGAGGCTAGGGTGGAGTGGGCACCGGATCTGCTGCTGAGGCAGCTGTGACAGCTTCCCCCCGTAGGGAGGAGTAACTTGACCAGGTACGCAGCACAGAAGAGGACACTGAGGCTTGCCTTTGCAAGCCCAAGGTCTCACAGCATCCTTCGCAACAGCCAAAAGGTGGGAACCACCGTGGACATGGACAGATGAGTAGATAAGCTGTGGTATGTCCATATAATGGAGTATCATTCAGTCTTAAAAAGGAAGGAAATTAATTTTTAGAAGATTTTATTTATTCATGAGAGACACACAGAGAGAGGCAGGCTCCCTGCAGGGAGTCTGATGCAGGACTCAATCCCAGAACCCCAGGATCACGCCCTGAGCTGAAGGCAGACACTGAGCCACCCAGGTGCCTCAAAAGGAAGGAAATTCTGACATGTCCTGCAAGGATGATCCTCAAAGACCTTACGGTCAGTGTAGGAAGTCCAACACAAAAGGACAAATAAGTGCTGTTATCTTCCACTTATATGAGGTACTTAGAGTCCAGTTCATAGAGACAAATAGTAGAATGGTGGTTGCCTGAGGCTGGGGGGAGGGAGAAATGGGGAGTTAGTGTTTAATAAGTAACAGAATTTCAGTTTTGCAAGATGAAAAAGTAGCAACGGAGGGTGGCCTGAATGTACTTAATGCCACTGAAATGTGCTTAAAAATGGTTACAGTGGGGATCCCTGGGTGGCGCAGGGTTTGGTGCCTGCCTTTGGCCCAGGGCGCGATCCTGGAGACCCGGGATCGAATCCCACGTCGGGCTCCCGGTGCATGGAGCCTGCTTCTCCCTCTGCCTGTGTCTCTGCCTCTCTCTCGCTCTTTCTATGTGTGACTATCATAAATAAATAAATAAATTTTTAAAAATGGTTACAATGGTAAATTTTATGTATATTTTACCATAATTTCAAAAAATGAGGCTAAGGTCTCAACACCTGACTAGCTAGGACTCTAACACTGTTCCTAACACACAGCAGGCACTCACAATATTTTTTGTTCTAATACAACAACTCTAGGTATTTCCCATAATCATTGTCCCCACTTTACAGGGTAAAACTGAGGCTCTAGGAGGTTAATCGGCTCAAGTGATACAACGGGTAAGTGGCAGAGCCTGAGCTAAACCCAGGCACTGGAGCTCCAGAAAGGCCTCCTTAACCATTCCCCTCAGCCATTCCTTGGCAGCACCATTCACAGAATCAGGGAGCACAGCCCGCGAGGAGAGAGGGGAAGGGGACGACATAGTGCTGGTGCAGTAATGGCGAGCCAGAAGATGTTCATCGGTAGCTTTCTTGAAGTGAGTCCTGGAATCCAGGGGTGAGGTGCAGACTCGAAGTTCAGATGGTTGAGGAGCCCTCATACCCAGGCACCCACCAAACTTTTTCGTATCCATTACTGCCCACCTATCACCCTAAACAAACGGACCAGGGCTGCAGGTTGGTGACCCTGGGATGAAAGATGTTCTACGGGCTCAGTCAAGAGCGGACAACACGGTGAGCTCCCTTGACTCCCTCATAATGGGTCGGTTTGTAAGAGCCAGTGCCTGTAGATTTAGTAACAAACACATCATCGACAATATTTAGTAACAGCCCAGAACAATTGTTATCATTGGTGTTTGTCATAGTGTGTCCCACTTCCCCACATCTTACAAACTCCCCAGGACAGCTGAGGCTGCGGTAGGGTGGCAGGCGCTGCGATGGAGTGCCGCCGCGAAGCTTAGTGGCCTGTCCAGTTCCACTTTCACCCATTCTATGAGGATTGATTGCTTAAGGTTTGGGATAGAGGCCTAGATGCTCCCTGGTGGTCTAGTGTTTAGGATTGGGATAGAGGCCTGCCTGCTCTCCTCAGGGTCACAGTCTAGGCATATCCCGCCTCCTGGATTGGATACCCCCTCTGACAAGGAGCTCACTACCTTACAAGACAGCAGCTCATCCCACCAAGGAATAGGGTTATTCTGCCATCCAGGCAATTGACCGCACTCTTACAGACAGTGGCTGTTGTGCAAAGCCTCAGCAAGTCAACACCTGCCTGTGCCAACCTGAGAACAATATGATCTAAATTTAATTGCCTCCTGAGGCAACTGTTTGCAATAGAATGTAATTTACAATGGCCAATAAATCTTGCAGAGGAACAACATCTCCATTTGCCTCCCTAAAAGTATAAACACTTCCATTGCTCAAGCCTCTGTGTCACACACCTCCGCCTCCCACCCACAGCCCCCCTCCCCCTGCGCCCTCCAACCATAGGATCCCAGCCTGGGACAGCCTAAGAGGAGCCGCCTAGCCCCTCGATGCCTTGCTATCTCTCTCTGTGTCAATAAAAACAAATAAGCCCCACAAATAAATGCATTCTTCCTGTAAAACATTACAAACAAATCACTCCTCTCTGACACCACTCCAAATTCAGTTCCCTTCTTGCCCCAGAGATAAGGACTCTTATCAGATTGGATAAAATCTTCCAGAACCTTCCCTATGTATTTTCATAAATGTATGTATCCATGGTGTAGAAAAACATTTAACTTTGCTTTATGTATGTTTCTAAACAAACGATACAATGCTAATTGTTCCAGTCTTGCTTTTTTGTCCAACAATAGATTTTGGAGATCTCTCCATGTCAGAACACAGATCTGCCTGTCTCATAACTCCTGGGCTGCGTGCCTTGGTGTGGATCTACCACAGTGTCTTTATTTAACTCCCTCTTTGATGGTGTTTAATCTTTTTTCCTTTTACACGAATCCTCTGAGAACATTCAGGACCACCTTAGAACACTTTCAGGGCTCAAAGCTCACAAAGTGTTCCCAGAGACTGAGCTAAAGCTAAAAGTTGCCTTCTCCTAACTCCTAACTCCCAGCACCTCTTGCTGGCCCAGTTCTAGGAAGAAAATTTGGCCCTGGAGGTGCCATCCATCCTGGCTCCATCTGGAGCTCTCTGGAGCTGGAGGGATCATTCAAGATCTGTCCACCTGGCCTCATTTTAGAGAGGCGGCCACTAGGCTCAGAGATGTTAAGTGTGTTGCACAAGGTCACACAGCACGTCAGTGTTGCTTCTTCTTGGGACCCACATCCAGCTCACTCAGGAAACAACATACTGCCAGTTTTTGCCCCGAGAAGCTCTGTTCCCAGGCTCAGCAGTTGCAAAAGGCCCCCAGGGCTTTGTTTTCAAAGGAGAAATGAAGCGGGAAGTATTTTTAACCGCTGGCCCCGCCCTTGCTCCTGCCTTGCTCCCTCGTGCTTGCTGTCCAGGAAAGGCCGGCTTCACAGTGGCATTGCAACTCATGGAAAACAACAAACGCCCGAAATAGATGATACCCAAGCTCAGGAATGGAAAAAATTGGCTCATGCCTTCAAATGCCTCTTTTAGAAAAAGCCAAGAATAGCTTTCAGCCTTTGGGGACCTGCTGGGGGTGAGGGAGTGAGGAGGTGTGGCGCTGGGACAGGGATCCAGCCAAGATTGAGATCGCCAAGGGCCCAACTTCCAGCCAGAAGAGTTTTGGCCATTTCCCCCCAGGGCACGTGAAAACTAGCTTCCCCAGCTCTGTCCACCCAGGGAGCCATGTCTATACCCAGCTACTTGTTCCCTCTGACCCCCCAGAGCACCCCCACCCTTTAGCCCTGCCCTTCGGCTGAATCGAGAACAACTTCCTTTGTTGGACCAGGCCTGGGCTGGGAGCTCCTCTGCCCCACCAAGGTCCTAGCAGGATGGAAACCTGAGCTTCTGCCCTTCCAGAGCCTGAAGGGTGAAAGCTGATTCCCTGGTGTTGGGGGTGTGTGGGGTGGATGACAAAGAGATAAACTGAGGGTTTGCATCCCTATTCTTACAGCCCAGCTATATGGCCTTGGGCAAGTCACTTGACCTGATGCAGCCTCAGTTTCGTCATCTGGAAAGCAGGGGTAATCTTTCAGTTACTCATTCATCCAACACATGTTGGGTCTGACTACGTGTCAGCACTGGGCACTAGACACTGAGGACATAGCCGCAACCAGAACAAAGTCCCGATCATTTGGATCAGAAGATGTAGCCTTGCTAACCTCAAAGGCTGCAGGGAATTAGCCATTCCTTCTTCACACAGTTATGCAGCCAGCCTGGCGCTAGGAGGGCATAATGCTTTGGGCCAGTGTTTATGAGACCTTATGCCAAGCATCTTACCTTGATGATTTCATTTAGTGTCATCCCAACCCTGTGATGTAGACACTATATTTATCCCCATATTACGGCCGAGGCCGTTGAGGAGCAGAGAGTTTGTGCTGGAGAAGTTCCAAGGCTCATCTGCAAACAGTAAGGACTAAGGAAAAAGGCCGATGGGCCAGGTCACTATTAAGCCCCAGGGACTGGAATAACTAAAGCCTGGTTCTCTGTGTCACTTTGCAATACAAAGTGGTAGGTAGCCTGAGGTCAGTACATAGGCACAGGACAAAGACTTCTTACAACTTGGGGTCTGTGCAGCCCTTTTACTTAAAATAAGATCCCAATTGTCCCTCCAACCCTACGGTGTCCGACTGTCTCCCATTTGACACAGGAGAAACCAAGGCACGTACAGGCTGAGTTTCCCAATCACCGCACAACAGGGGTTTCTGCTCGAGGGGTGCTTATCACGGGCAGGTTGCCATGCTGGACCCCGACTGCACCTGCCGGAGATGCGGGATGCCAGGGTGCGGCGCGGCAGGCCGGCTAGGAGAGAACTACGTCTCCCAGGATGCCGTGCGACGGGCGTGTGGGGCGGGGCCGCCGCGAGCACAGGGCTGTAATTTCTTGGTATTTAAAAAAAAAAAAAAAAAAAAAAGGTAGCAAAAGAAAAGAGAGAAAGAATCAAAGCCTCAAGCGTCATGTCTAGGAATAGCCTCGGAGCCAGGCCAAGTCATTATAGACGATGAGTAATCCGGTTAAGTCATTTCTCTAAACACCATTCCTTGTAAGAGAATTAAAATATCAGTTTACATCAGAGGGGGAGAGGCAGGCTCCAGAGGCCCGGCCGGGAGCGCAGCCAGGAGGGGGCGCGGCTGGCGCGCCGCTGCCGCGCGCTCGGCCCAGCCTCGGGGCGGGGGCGGGATGCCGGGGCCCTGACAGCTGGACCCTGGGCTCGGGCAGGCGGCCAGCTAGCGGGGGGTGGGGTGGGGTGGGGAGCGGCCCGCCAGGCCTCAGTTTACCAGATGGTAAGGGCTTCAGGGAATGTTTGGGGCTGCTCCCTGTCGGAAGAATCGGTGTCCCTCGTGGGGGCAGCCCTGCAAGGTGAATGGTGTGGGGACTAGGCCAGAGGGGGCTGGGGTGCTCTTTTCTTCAGTGTCCCCTATTTCCTCCTGGATTTCAGAGTTCCTGTCTCGGCAACTGCAGGCCTACTGTCGGGGCGAAGGGCTGAGGACTGGCCTGAGGACACGGAGAGTAAACGCGAGGTAGGTGCCCAATTCCCTTAAACTTGCAGGAAAGTCTTTAGGCAGGGAGTGACCACCAGCGCAGCTTTTGGTGTCCTGAGGACAGGGTCATGATAAATTGGAAGTGAGTTGATCAAGGAGCTGCCCCTTCACCTCTAGAGCCTGTTGTCTGAGACCCCTCCAGAGCCAATACAGGAGTTGAGTCCCAGCTGTGAGCCAGTCACAGGTATCCTCCCACTCTCCATAACCCTGACCTGGATCCTTACCAGGTAAGGCCGCTGGGGCCCAGAGACTTCTCCCCCTGCCAAGGCAGCATAGAATAATTGAAGCTTAGAGCCACTGAAGTTTGAGGCAGGCCAGGCCCAGCTCTTACATACCTTAGCTCTTGCAGTGATATAGGTGCTTTTTAAATTAACTAATTGATTAACTAATTAATTTAACGAAAGGACAAGGGGAAGCACAGACAGGTTCACAAGTTCCCAGGGGGCTGCACTCACTCTCACTCTTAGCCCAGCTACTGGAACAGGAGTTGCCCAGGCTCTGAAGCCAGGCAGACTGCTTTCCAGTCCCAGTGCGTGTGCTTGCAGGTGAGCCAGCACGTTACTGGGTTGCTCAGGGTCTCTAGTCTTCAATTTCCCCATGTGTAAAATAGGGTTAGCAGTACCTATCTTACAAGGTTAGTGTGAGGTTAGAAATAACATAGGCCTTCAACAAACGATCATTCTGTTGTGTTGGTAGTGTTAACCCGAACTTGCCTCTGACTGGGCAAATTTGGTGGGCTACTGGGTCTATGGAAGAAAGTAACCAGGATGCCAGGAGGAATTATGAGCAAGGTAAGTGATTCATCTCCAACCTGAGCGAGGTCCATCAACTCCTTCAATTCATCAAGCATGGGCTTTGGGGTGGGGGAGGCTGCCTTATTTCCTGCTCCCCAAATGAATGCATGGGACCTTGCTAACATCAAAACTAAAGCTTCTAGGCTTGGAGTTGTCTGGGACCCATTGGCTCCAAGAACCTAATATCCCTTAGAAGCCTCCCGCTCTCTGGCACATCTCCCCACACCCCATCTCACACCTGAAGGCCAGGCCTCTGTGGTCATCATCTTGGCAATACCCAGCCTGCGACTGCCCTCCCTTCCTGACATCCCAACTATGTTGGAAATGGTGCCTGGCAGGGAGAATCCAAGGAGAACTCAGGTCCAAATGGTCCTGCCTGCACCTCAGGCCCTCCTTTCTTCCCACTCTGCCAACCAAAAGCTCAAATCCCCCACACACCCACTGTACATCCTTTTTTTTAAAGATTTATTTATTTATTCATGATAGACACATTGAGAGAGAGGTGGAGACACAGGCAGAGGCAGAAGCAGGCTCCATGCAGGGAGCCTGACATGGGACTCGATCCCGGGACTCCAGGATTGTGCCCTGGGCCAAAGGCAGGTGCTAAACCGCTGAGCCACCCAGGGATCCCCCCCCCCCCACTGTACATCCTTTCTGCTTCTGTGTGCCTGGGAACACATATACAAACCTACGTACACCTATGCATTTGCACATGTATCCTACATGCAGAGGAGCCCATAGCTCACACAGAGGAACACAAACACATGTGGACACGCTCAACTGCAACACACTAGAGAGATCTCAGCCCCCGAGGCTTCCTTCTCCACATTTGATGCACCATGCTGGCCTACCTTGGATACCAGCAAGGGGACAAATGGTTGTCCAGCCCTCCTGCCTATCCCAAGCTGCCCATTTATGCCTTTGCTTCTTTAGCCATGGGGCTGGCCTCTGGGATTTTGCTGTTGCAACTGACTTGCCTCCCTACCTTGGCCTCAGCAGGCTTTCCAGACCTGACTGTTGGTACTAGCGACAGCTGAAGACAGAAGACTGCATGGAAGTGGCTCCTCTGGCTTCTCTTAGGCATGGCGCTGGCTTGGTGTCCACCCCTCCCTGACAAATCTGGCAATACAGCCACACTGTATTGGGCTGTAGAGGACCAGCTTCCTGGTGCTCTCTGTTCTGTTTCTGACTCCCAGTGTTTCTGTGTGCTGTTTCCTCTGTGCCCAAGTGCCTTCCCGGGCTCAGTAGGGCCTGCCATGTCCACCCAGTGAACCTCTGCTCATCCTCCAAGGCTCCACATGAAGCAGGCATCCATATCCCCTGTGTGTCCCAGGGCTCCCAGCATACAACTCTGCTGTGACATTTGCCACACTGGTGCTCTTGTCACGTCACTCCTATGTCATTATCTGACTGTCCAGCCTCCGCTGAGCCTCTATCCCACAGTTAGGAATGATCCATCCCATCAGCCTACACCATGCTGCTGGCAGAGCCACAGCGCCCAGGCCAATGCTCTGTCAACATACTGATGTTCAGAGGTGGAAGGGACTTGTCTGAGGTCCCGCATTGCTTCAGGAGATCTTAGTTGGTGAAGAAGGAACTGGGAGAGAAGAGGAGCAAGTGGGAGGCCACAGAGGGCGGGCACATAACAGATGTTCAATGAAGATGCGTAGAAGACAATGAAGGAGGGAAGGATGGAGAAAGGGAGGATATCCATTTCTAACCCCTCACCCCCCCCCCACCATGCCCTTCCCCTTCACTGTATAACATCTAGGCCTTCCCTGGAGCAGCACTTCCTATTTTTTTAAAAGATTTTTTAAAAAGTAATCTCTACACCCAATGTGGGGCTTGAACTCACAACCCCGAGATCAAGAATCACATGCTCTACTGACTGAGGCAGCCAGGTACCCCAGCACTTCCTAATTTTTTTTAAAAGATTTTATTTATTTATTCATGAGAGACACAGAGAGAGGCAGAGACAGAAGCAGGTTCCACGCAGGAAGCCCGATGTGGGACTCGATCCTGGGACTCTGGGATCATGCCCTGAGCCAAAGGCAGATGCTCAACAACTGAGCCACCCAGGCATCCCCGCACTTCCTAATTTTTAAGGGCAGAATATTCTATACTTTAGCTTTGAGGTCATACACGTTCCCTTCTTCTTGGAGTTCCAGGGCTGGGTGACTCTGCAAGTCTGTGGTCACTCCATCCCTCTGGCCCCAAGCTGGGAGCTTGGCTCAGAGCCCCTACACTGGGTATCCCTATCCCATCGCCCCTCGGTGGTGGTGGTGGTGGTGGTGGTGGTGGTAGTGGAGGGTGAGCAGTACCTGAGGTCCTGGATCCCACTCAGGGAAGCACATCCCCAATCCCTTCAGGATCTCAGAGTCCCCAGGCTCCTGACCCCCTGGTTCTGCAATAGGAAGGTTCCAGGCACCCATCAGCCTCACTCTGGTGAGCCTGAGCCCTGCTGTGGCTGAGTAGGATCTGCCTCAGTGGAGTGGGGAAGTGGTGAGCATCTTTCCCCCTATGACAAGTGCCCCAAGTCAGTGAAGTTCTTTATGCTGTTTCCGTGTCTGTAAAATGGGGATGGTATACTCATAGCTCTCACACCTTTTGGCACTAAACGAGCTATTTCTTTCTTTTTTTAAAAAAGATTTTATGTATTTGACAAAGAGCACAAGCAAGCAGGTGGAGTAGCAGCAGACAGAGAGAAAGGGAGAAGCAGGCTCCCTGCTGAGCAGGGAATCCACAAGGAGCTTGATCCCAGGATTGTGGAGGAAGGCGGGTAATCATGACCTGAGCCAAAGGCAGACACTTAACTGACTGAGCCACCCAAGTGCCCCTAGATGAACTATTTCTTATAAAAACCTTAGAGCTGAGCGGACAGGAGGAAGCTCTCCATAAATGCCAGCTCTTCTCCACAGCCCAGAGCAAAGCAGAAGGCGTGGTGTGAGCCAGGGCTCCGGGAAGGGAGACAGGAAACCTGGATCCCAGGGCCAGCTGTAATGAGCATATAGGCGGTTTGGTCCTGGAAGACCCCTCCCCACTCCACCTTCCCTCCTGTTCCTGTGTCATATTGTGTTGGCTTTGGGGGCTTTTTAAAAAAAAAATAAACAAGGGCTTCATGAAACCCCTAATATTCTGGTTAAGTTTTGAAACAGCTCAGAAATCCCCTCCTCCCCTTGTGAGTCAGTGGTAGGAGCAATAAGCAGAACTGCTAGTGGGCAGCCGAGAGAGAGAGAAATTCTGCAAAATAACAGCTGGGCAGCCCTGTGGCCCAAGGGATTTGACATGTGGGCTTGAACCTATTTGACATGGGGTGCCGCTGGAGAGGGCCCGAGGCCGGGGGATGGGGGGGAGACTAAACCCTGAAAAACATCACGATGCCTCCTCCCCCTCCCTGGCGTAATGTGAAATAAAAACAACTCTGGATGGTTAAATTAGTGTAAAGAAGTCCCACGAGACTGACTTTTCCCGTAAGGCGATTTCGATGCTCGTTTGGAAATATCAAATTCTTTCCAAGCATTTTCTTTTTCTATTTTGGTGCGTTAAGCACGTGCTCGGCCGACCAGGCTCGCGCCGGGTGCTGCGGAGCCCAGCGGCGCCGGCCGAGGGGGCCGAGGGGGCCGAGGGGGGCCGCCGTAGGGGGCGCGGGGCGGGGCCGGGGGGGGGGGCGCCGCCCAGGGGTCCCCAGGCCCAGACGCCGCCCGCACCCCGCCCCGCCCCCAGCGGCCCCGCACCCCCACCCGGTCGCTCTGGGCTCGAAAGACCGGGTGGGGGTTTCGGAAAGCGCTTTCCTTGCCCAGCCGGATCTGAGTCAAAAGGGGGAGCTGGTTCAAACCGAAAGAATAATTCGGTTAGCCAAGGCTGCCAATATTTCTCTGGGGCCCAAATTACTGCCAGGCAGGGAGCTCCTGGGCCCGCGGCGCTGGCCCCTCGGGCCTCGCTGAAAGCCCCTTGTTCCCATATAGTTCTTTCTTTCCCCAGAAAAGGGGCCGGGAAGTGCCCAGGGCAGAAAGGGCTGACGGAGGGGAGGGTGCTTCCTCCTGCCCCACAGGCTCTGCTGGGCGTCCAGGGCCATCAGGGACCCTCCTGGGGTCCCAGATGACTGGGGCATCCTGGCAGAGGTGAAAGAGAGCTCCATCCACCTGCCCCAGTAGGCCCGGAGCTGGGCCCACCCTTCTCAGGTCATTCAGCAAGTCCCCCATGCCTCTGCGTTTGCACCCTCCGTTCACTCTGCTGTTCCCTCCCCCTCGGCTTGCGAATTCCTGTATATCCTCCTGGGGATAGAGGTGTGAAGCTCTTCAGAATTTTTCCTGAAAAGGCCTGGCTTCCCACTGTAGAGACCAGTTCTGGCAAAGTTGGTAAAACCAACTTGAAAAGAACCACTCAAGTATCTTCAACATCCCTGACACTGGCCCCCTACCCTGAATGCCACTTCTAGGCCCCTTGGCTCAGCAGAGTTTGTGCTCTGACCAGCATCCTAGTGCACACAGTGAGGCCCAAATTAACGAGGTTTTTTTTTTTTTTTTTGAACTGTCATTATCGAGAAGAGAAACATTGCTCTATATGTAGTAGTTAATCATTTTTTTCAGGCTGGATTGCCAGGGTGGAGTGGAACAGATAGGGCCTAGAGGGCTCTTCTCATCCGGCTTGTGGTTTCTGACCTTTGCAGACCCCAGCTCTGCTCAACTACCCTGCCTTTGCAGTCACAGAAACTCTCTGGCTCAGGGACCCTGGTGGACTCAAGTAAGTTCATTATGACCTTAGGACAGGTGTGGAAAGGAGATGCTGATGGTTCGTCTTCCTGGGCCCCCAGAACACCTGGCCTGGGCCTGTTGCACTGCGCCCTCAGCCTAGCTCACCACCTCAGCACAAAATTTGCCCTGTAAGCAGGACCATCGTGAGCTCTCAGGCAGGGCCAGGAACACAGCTGTTCTAATGCAGACGGTCCTATAGACACAATACGACTGTGGCATAGATGGCCTGGCTGATGCACACCACACACAAGGACAAGCACAGAACATGGCCAAGGTCAGGGACATGTGGGGTCAGCTGAGCATGTGAGGAGGACACAGATGCATAGACACACATACACCCTTTTTAGGGCAGTGCTGGTCGGTGCAGTTGGCAGGGCTGGAGCCACATGGCCACCGATCTATTAGAGCAACTGGTGGTGTACCTCTGTAGTTAAGATGCAGGGGGGTCTGGAGAGAGAGGAAGGCACCAAACTGGCCCCGTATTAGGGCTTGGAGCAGCAGCTAATATTGACATTGAAGTATGTCCCTATTATGAATGGTTTAGAGCAGGGGGGTGACTATTAGTTCTGAGGGCTGAAGGGAGACCCTGGCTCCAGGGAGAAAGGTGGGAGCATTTCCATTTTAAGGAGCAGAATGAGAACTTAGTGGTAGCAAGGGGAGCAGGGGTGGTTCTACCTTATTGTGGTACAGTCTCGGAAACTTCTCTGGCCTGGTTCCATTTTTACAAGGTTTTACATTGTTAAAGGGCTGTTAAAAAAAGAAGAAGAAGAAGAAGAATGTATGGGGTGCCTGGCTGGCTCTGTCGGAAGAGTGTGCAACTTTTGATCTCAGGGTGGTGAGTCTGAGCCCCCCATTCAATGGGAAGATTACTTAAAGTTTAAAAAAAATGTGACTGAGATCTTAAGCCTAACATATTCACTATCTGGCCCTTTACTTAAAAAGTTTGCTGACTCCTGATTTTATGGCTGACTCCTGATTTTATGGTAAAGCTCCAGAGGGGGAAAGCTACCACCCAACAGCACCCTGCAGAGTGGTGGCTGAGTGCTATCCCGAGGCTGCCAGGCTCCTGCTTTTCCTTCAGCATTGCAGCGATTCCAAGTCTGGGGAGGTGGCCTATGAACCTCGGGTCAGCTGCTTGTGGGAGCCAGGGGTTGGAGAGCGGGCCAGTGGATGCTTCATCCCCCTTTCCTGCCGTTGCTCTGAAAGGAATATGTCTTGTTACCTGTTATCTGGGCGTCTCCAAGCACAGGACTGAATTCAGAGAATACAGTGCTGATTTCTGTACCCCTGTGGTCTGACCTGTTTATGGAAAACTCTGTTGATCAAAATACCCAAGCACATGCATGCACA